CAAATATGATACGGGGACATACCATATTATTTTAATATAGGTAGGTAACTACATTATAATAAGATAAGTACTAAATACAACGCAATAGCTAGGTTAATGTTTTGAAGATGGCATATTCCGTAATTTGTAGTATATCTGAAACTAATTAATAAATTAATTGTATTGGTTCATCAATAGTACGTCCATTTAATAAGGTGGAAATGATTAAAAATGTAATTAAGTATAGGCATTATACAGCGTAATTTGTTTCAAATCTGGCCTCTGACGTTTGTAAGTATAACCTACAGTATAATATGTACCTAATAAAAAGCATAGGTACATAGTTGCTAAATTGAATCATGGCCCGTGGTACACTTTATATTTTAAATTTTAACTATACAATTTTTTCTCTAAATAGTAAATTTAAAAAAAATATAAATCGTTTATGTATATTAACCCTTTGCACCTCTTGACATTTCCTGCGGTTCAAATTTCATTATAAATATAATTTTATAAACAAAACATTTCACATTCGCCTGAACGCTTAGGATAGGTGCTTGGTTTGGCTTATGGGAATAATATTATTTTCAGTTATAGTCTCTGAAGGGGTGTGGGAAAGAGGTGGGATGACCCACAACTTTTTCCCTGTACCTATTATGTACAGCCTTATTCAGACTATTAAATATACCCAGGAGCTTATACATCCACTATTTTAGTTTGCAAAAAACATAGAAGACGTTCTGCTGTATATAGTAGTAGGTGCCTATATATTATATAGACTGAGAAAATCAATTTTTAGTTAATGATATTGAATAATGTTGAATATCAAATATCTAAAGGCGCAAATAGCGGTGACTGGGGGGACTAAGCCGCGCTAACTGCTGTAGTCACATCTCCCAATTTTCGGAATGACATAGTAGTGTGAATAACTTTATTCAGTAATGAGAGTTAATAAGTTGAAATATCATTCAAATTTAACTGATGATCGTTCCAAAACTGATCTTACACCAATTCAACTGGTCAAAATAAAAGTAAAAATAAAAATAAAAATAAAATAAAATGAAAGTACTTCGACCCAAAAATATTTATTTTAATATACCTAAAAACATTTATTTATTCAATTTTTTTAATGTATTCACTCATATTTATTTGTTACAAATGTATTCATTTATTTGTACTATAAAAACATTTTTTTTAATGTATACAAAACAATGTAAATAAATATTAATAAGTAAACTTTTGTTTTTGCAAATTGCACACGAACCACTGGAACGGCTTATATTGCTAAGGATATTTTAAAAATTACTTAAAATGTAGCTTATTTATTTATTACTAATCGAGAAGGAATTGATTTTTGCAGAAATGCAATATTATAATTAAAACTAGTTTACAATATTATCCAAATATTTTTTAAATATTATTGTGTATAGAAAAAAATAATATAAGTAGGTAATTGTAGAAGTTATAAGTCCAGGCGATTAATATTTTTTTAATTACCACATAATAACCAAATTTGGTTTGGGGAAAATTGTTTGAGTCATAATTTTTATTAACATGATTGACCAAATCTATATAAAAATGTAGACACTTAAAATGCCTATAAATTGATAGAAATTAGTCTAAATAAATAAGAAAATTAAATTTTGCATTGAAAATAATATTCTAAGGAATTGTGGAGTGTTCAAAGTATCTACCATTTATACATTTCTTATTAACTACATCAAAATAACAAAAATTGTTATTTTACTTTTGAATATCCAATGTCATCAAAATGTTAACTTCAGTCGATCATAAAAAAATGATATGGCTTTACTCTTAATTTTATTTTATTAGCTCTGGTATGACAAACTTATGAGGAATCGTAAATAAAATATTCAAGATTTAGGTAAAAAAAGATTTTATGCATTTTTAACTACAAAGAACAAAATAATTTGTAAATACGATTCCTGATCTTGATACATTTTTTAAATATTTTATAAACCTTTTTAAGTTTTATATGAACCTTAAATGTTTGTGATAACATCTTTACTATTGATTAGGAATGTGTTTTTGACATTTATTAATTCCTGTTAAATAAACTTCTGAAGAATCTGGTACTATTAGTGTTACGTAAAATATATACTCGTTTAACGTATTATTTTTAGTTTTTCCCAATTATTTTGGAAATAACTGAGAATCTTATACCCCGAGGTACTGACTAGATCGAATTTGTTACCAGAAACATTTCTATTTTAACCCCAATATTGGATCATTTTCTTTGGAGCCGGAACACACACACACACACACACACACGTTCTCGCTCACACGCACGCATCATCGAAAGAACACGTTTGTATAGCAATCGTGAACTGTGGCGATATCAAGACATGAAATATTATATATTATTAATCAAACGGCAAATGAAAAGATAGTATATATAGTATAAATATAATATAAATAATATACATAATATATATTAGCTTTGTAATACACACTCAGTTATACGATGGTACCTGAAATACCTATGATGAGCTCTCGAGAGTTAGGCTGACCTATCACACTAAAATGTTGGGTATACCACCGATTATAATCATCCACCAACATAATACATAACATTCTGCCCTTAAATTCATAATACCTATTTAATATCCCACGCACTTATGACAGTCTATTGAGAATTGAACATAACCTTTTCGAGGTTTTTTCCCTGTGGAATATCAACCAGCTATTATATAGTTGTAAATGTATATAACATAATATATGTACGAGCGTGTATCTAAAACACGAATATAATCAAAATGATTTTGCACCGCACGTGTTGTAGGCACATTATATATAGTCTTACTCGACACAGCACAAGGGACGTAGCAGCATTCGATTTGTTCATTAGTGTTTAACGCAAGACAATTTAATTTGAATTTGCATATTATTATCAAACGGTTAGCCACAAAATTTCGTTTCCATTGTACATTATAATAATATATTATGATGTAATACTCGAGAAATAATGGCATAAAATATATATTACCCCAGCTAAGTACATGGGTACGTATTTCTGTAGAATATAAATTTAGGATTTATGCTCCTCTCGGTATAATGTGTATATTGTACAGCGCAGTATATGAACTGATTTGTGTTGATATTATAATAGTAACTGAAAAATCAGGCGATCCCTTTGGTATAAACCTAAACTATTTCCTTCCAATCACGGTTGACACTCGAGTTTTGTTAAAATAAAAATAATATATAGAGGTACTTCGACGTAAAGTAGAATATTTATTTGCCGTTTGAATCGGAGAAAAATATCCGGACGGTATATAAACATTGCGGATGATCGACATTTATTTTCGTTCTGCGCACTCGTATTTTATATTTATTAGAGATCGGCAATCGATATAATAATGTTTTATTATACGTTCGGAAAACTAGTCTGAGCGGAACTTGATTAAAACCGCACTTGCTAACAATTCTCTTCAGCCCTGGGGGGCTGCAGTGGCTACAGAGAAGAATGAAAACAAAAAAAAAACACAATAATCCCTTTCCTATAAAATACTTACCCACCGCCAACTGGGTGAAATAATTTATATTATCGGACGTGACTAATTGAGACTTTGGAAGCAGACTGAAAAAAGTGGGAAAAAGTAAGGACATTGTGAAAGACCGATAGGTACATTTTTCGCTTTTCTCGGAATCAAAAATACTTAACCCTAGTCCTTAGAACGCTTACCATTTTTCGATTCCAGGGACACTGATCATGTTATACTGATTTAATTCTTAGTATACTAGTTCTTATTACATTTTCTAAATAACATCTACTGCGTCATCATCTTATTCCAATCAGTTTTAGCTATAGTCCTATAGATGACCGTTTATTCTGCAAAACCCAAGTCTACTACTGATAAATAATAAGAAATACACACACAATTTATCAGAAATAGCTGAGTATACAGGATGCAATAGGAACACGTGACAAAAGAAAAATTGATATAACTTACGTACCTATCAATAAAATCATGAAAACTTTATGGATGATAAATAATTTAAGATTTACTTATAAGATTCCAAAAAATAATATTCTGAAAATGTTATAATAAGTTTCAAATTCAATTCTTCGAAACAATATTGATATTTTTAAAAATGAGTACGCGCCTATAACTGGTTCCTATATTACCATCGCTGTCCAGTGGATTGATCGGGGTACAATAATTTAACTAAAATTTTAATATGGTAACGGATGAAAATTCTGAAATCGCCACCTTGAAAAGAATTAATGACATTAAACCATTACATAAATAGGCCGCTTGCGTATATACATGCTGTGAAAAGTTTGTTGCCTCTATTTTACTTGCCTTTTGTGGAAATATTTTTTAATATTTAATGTGTGTTTAAACGTTTTTTGTACAAACTGTTTATATTTTTCAATCAATATACGAAAACCTATTATTGTATTCAACTTGAATAATATTTTTAACGTGGACTAATATAATGCATGAAAAAAAAAGGAAACAATAAAATAATATTACATGGGAGTTTATTTCATTTTAAATACTGATGAAAAAAATTTCAATTAAACAACAATATCTGTATCTACCACAACACGGTGTTAGGTATGGATACGATATAATGTTCAGAAGGCGGCATCAACCTTTTTACTTAATCGAAAATTAAAAAGATAATTAGTATTTTGTATCAAAAAATGATATGTAACTAACAATGTAAATCCAACAATGTAAATTTCGAGTTTCGTATTAAAAATTAAAATACCTACATATTTTGTCGTTGAAGGGAAATTAATATTTTAAACGTACGTATAGAATATAATACTATAACAGTTGTACACATTCGTATCACATTAAACTATACTCGAAAAGTCGAAAGTACTGAGTATATCATTAAAATGACAAAAACAGAGTGGTTTCTATACACACATCCTCCAACCGTATGAATGATGATAATTACATAATAAAGTTACTCTTATATTATATTACCTATACGTTATACTATATTATAGACGTGTTTAATACGCCAAAAATAAAAATTACCTTTAATAACACCGACTCGCTCAGCTTTTCGCGGTTAATTATTTTTATTGCTACATTCCTTCCAGTAACGCAATGGATGCCGAGCTTCACTAATCCTGAAAAAAAAACAAACAAACATTTCGATATTATCAACGGCGTATATAATATTGTAATTATTAAAGTATTATTTACAACACATTTACAATAAATATTAACATCTATCGATAAAATATAAAATTATTATTGCAGTCAAATATAATCACGGAGATTGGATATTATTATAATAATAGGTAATGTAATAAGTATATGATTGAAGTCAGATGAGTGGTGATGAATAACGAGGGATATATTTTTAGCAATATTTCAATTGATTTGAGGAAGGTATGCCATAGTATTACATACCACCTACTGACAAATATTTCATAAAAACTGATAAAACATTTATTGCATCAAAATAAAATTATAAAACTGATACAAATATAATAAAATATATATATTTTTTTTTTTGTACCATGCCGGAAACTCAACATAATTTATTTTCATTTAAAATTGATCAAGTGTTATGTAAGAGTATTTTTTCTTTTACTTTATAATACGATTCATTTCAAAAATCAAAGTTCACTTCACAAACATTTTTCAATGACTAAATTGAAACGAATCAGACTTTGCCACGAAATTGGAAAGTTATGTATCGCTTCACTCTCCATGGTAACAATAATGTAATGGTGTTGTATTTTTTGTATACGTTTGAAAGTAATGGAAACCATTCTGAACGAAAATAAAGCTGTAATATAATTTATTTTCATAATTATTGACGAGATCACAAAAAAAAAAATATCTCTGATCAATGATTTTCGCGAAATGTGTTAAAATGGCAAGAGTATAATACAATATTAATTTTAAATTACAATATCAAAACCGGATGGACAATTTCGATGCGCATATTTTAAACTTTTGATACATTTTTCAGTCTAATAAAAAACGTATTTTTTTGTAACGATTTTTATTTATAACTAATTTATTTACTTTGTACGCCATATTGTTTTGATTCGATATTATACACTCTATGCCTTTTTTAGAATTACAGCACGTAGGGTACATTTAAAGCTTAACATTCATTATTTATTGAAAAGTATTAACGTTTCCAGAAATGTTTCTTTTTTACATTTTTGAAAAAAAAAATTTCCATTATTATCACCATAATTTTTAAGTATTTTATTTTCTTTTTAAATGATTGCATACATATTTATAATTTATAATTAGGAATTTAAACATAAAAAATAAAGAAATTGTAAAATCTTATGTCATAGGTATGTCAGTAGTACCTATTACACTTATATAGTAAAAGTATCTATTTATTTATGTATTTAAATAAAGTAATTATCCGAGATAAATTATCTAGATAAGATTTTCAATTTTATTTTTATATTGATGCGTTTCTTTGTTTGAAGTTTTCTGAGCTTTTACTAAAAACTTATTTACACTATTTTACTTGTATGTTATTTTAGTTATTTCATGTACATTTAATACGTGTACGTCATACTATGGTAATTATCTTGTAGGTACCTGTAGGTATATTGTTTATTCTGTGTAATTTTTAAACACCGAAGTCTAATCGTATTAACGTATTTCGTATTTACGAATGTAAAAATGTAAACTTATTTATGGTTATATTTTATAATTATATTTATGAAAAAAAATCCTATATTACAAATGCATTTTCAAAATCTATAATCTTATATTTTTATCTATAATCTACATAAATATTTTATGTGTTATCTATATTATACAATTTCAATGAATTATTTCTTATCTCATCAAGTTCAGTTTTGGGTATTATACATTTTACAACACCGTGTACCAATGTGTTAAATTCAAATTCAATGATAAATCAAGGAATACGAAAAATGATTTTGAGCGAAGACAGTCTGTCAGTCTATATTACTTAATACATATTATATATATTTTTTTTATGATATTGCTATTAAAGTAATTAATTTTACTACTAGTACCTATTACGATGTATAAGTTGATTTAATTTTTTCCGAAAACATTGCATTTAATATATTATAGGTAAATATTTACTGAAAGGAATAAGTGGCACAATATTCACTGATGATCAATATCAAAACTAGTTTAATATACGAAAAATATGATTGATACGTATTTGTATTTACATACCCGCGTGCCACTCCACTCTCCACTCATATAAACTTCAAATACTTAGAACTTATAAATATATTACTAGGTAGTTTGAAATTCGAAATTTATATTATAATGCAATTCTTAGAAAAATTTTCTGCTTCAGAATATGAAATTAAAAATATATGCAGTAAAAACTAAAAGAAAAATTGCATAAACGATAACGATAAAAAAGTTATTTATTTTTCAAATATTTTGTTTCCATACTTTGCAAAAAAAAGATCCCGAGCTGAGCAATGAATGTATTGATTTTATATTGATCAATGACGTGTGTGTGTGTGTGTGTATGTTTTTTTGTGTTTGTCATCACCTTTAGAGCAGTAGAAAGTTAAGATTTTTCACTTCAATACCGAGTTCAATTATTTTCAGGAAGGAAAGTGAATATGTTGTTGCTTTAGGAATCATTAGTAAAATATTCCCAATAAATTTCTTATCATTGTCAAAAAATGGAATATTGTATGAAAAATGAGTATATGACAAAATTGATTTTCAATTTGTTTTAATTCAAAAACGAATAACAATACTGTCGATACTTGATATTTTCACCAAAGGTTAAACTACCATTTACGTCATGATATCATAACCAAAATATTATGTAGACTTCTTTTAAAATTACTTTTAGGCAAGTGAAATCTTAGGTTTTTCCCAATAATTGTCGATAAAACATATTTTTCGTTCTGTCAAAAGCTTTAAAATTTAACATAAGATTTCTCATACATTTTTAATAATGAAATCAAAAATAAATTGTGAGCGTAATTCATAAGAAATTTTTCTGATCGTTTAAGTTAGAATTTTGACAAACTTCGTCAAAATCACTAAAATTTGTACATTTTTTAGTAACATAAGATTTTTAAAATGTTTAACACTTAAACATAATATTTTAAAATATTATATAAGATTTTTCACAAGTTGTTAATAGAGGAAACAACAAATTGAGCGTAAGTTCACCAATATTGTTTACGTGCGTCTATGGTTTAAATTATTTTGAAAAGTTATGAGAATTTTTAATTTTGACCCCATAAAGAAACAATTTTCCACCAAAAAGCCCTCTCATAGTGTAAAGTCGACTTTTTTGCTCTAAAAGCCTAAGGTGTTGACAGATAAAAAAAATATACATACATCATTGTAAGAACATCACATTCAACTATCCACACGGAATCTTAAAAAAACATGATATTTATAATCACAGTAGAATAGAAGATGATTGAAGTTTTCAACTACGATAGATACATGGATAATATTCAGATTTTTATTTTGATAAGTTAATATATATCGAATAATTTTTTTTATTTTAAAGATTTTTTGACAAAGCCAGCTGATTTTTTTTAAATAACATATAAACGTAATCATTATGTATGCCATTTAAATAACATAATTATGTAAAATATAATTAAGTATAATAATGATATGATATAAATATTACGAACTAATTGCTTTCAAAAGCTATAATTAGGACTAAGGATTATGTTGTAGATTTTTTGTTTCGATAAAATAAGTCTAAGAAAGCTTTGATTGTTTTTCAAAAACAAATAATCATAGATACTACTATACTAGACATTTTCAAAAAATGTTTATAAATACTATTTTTTTGCACAGAGTGATACACCAAGCATGCCACGTCCATTTTTTTGGAATATTCAAATTTTGATTTTTGGAATTTTTAAATATTATATATTCAAATACTATTATTTTCAAATTCTTGATTTTTTTGTTCCACTCAAGAATTGTCCTGTGGTGATACAAACTTCTGTTTTTCAAATGAGACCCCCCCCCTCTTTTACTGTAACATAATAAATGGATATTTTTTTTGAAAATGTTGATGTACCTCATTCAAAATTCGAATGAGTAGTTTCTTAGCTATTAAAATGTTTGTATTAAGGATAATAGTCTTTAAAGCTGGTTTTACAAAAATATAAAGTAGACGTAAAATTGGATCTAGTATTTACTATAAATGGTCCATTTTTACAAATTATTTGTATCGATAGATTAACATTAATGACGGCAACTTTCAAATCACCGTGGCCCCCATATCTTATAAACTTATTAGTATGGACCTTTTATTCTTAGAACTCAAAGTTAAATAACTCAAAAACAACTTGAATTTTGATTCTGCTAAGTCAAAAATTTCAAAAAAATTATCAGCTATATAATTTATAGTTGAATATGGTTGTTCTCATTTGTAAGACAGAAGTTTGTGTCTTCAGTCTTCACTGACAATTTTTAAGTAGTGCAAAAAATTTCAAGAATTTAAAAATATGGTCTTTGAGTATATTTAAAAATTTCAAAAATCAGATTTTAAATAACTGCATTATTGAAGAATAAAAAAGGGGTGAGCATGTTTAGTGAATTACTCTGTTTATGGTATAATGTTCAAAATATTTTCACCCTTTTTGGGCTATGGATACAATGTGTACAATTTTTAATATATTTTTTTAGTTTTTATTCAATAATTGTTTATAAAAATGTATTCTTGGTCAAAAGCTTAACATTTTGATAAAAATACTGAAATTAAGAACTTTTAATAATTGCACGTGTAATTTTTTTTTTGTATGATTTTAAAGTTCGAGTATTGACGAATTCGTTGAAATCTCGAAAATAATTTTGAAGTCAAAAATTTATATAATTTTCAGTTTTATAAGTAAGGCTTGAAAATATATGCAAGTTTCACTTTAAGTATTTTTATTTTAAAACCAAGACATCTAAAAAATATCTAAACTCAATTTTTTGTAGACATTCTATAAGATGACATTAGATGAAATGAGATTTTTAAACAAGAATAACAATTTTAATTATTTTGTTGTAATTCATAATAATTAGTATTTGTGGCATTTTTCCAATTATCATCATCTTCTGTATACAAAATTATATATTTAAAACATTTTGATTTATTTTAAGCTACTTTTGTCCTTTAGGT